GGAAAAGGCCTCAATTAGGAAGAACAAAGAACCCTATTTGCGTGCGTGTGTGTGTGTGTGTGTGTGTGTGTGTGTGTGTGTTTGAAGGTATGGGTAGTCAGATAAACTCTTACCGAGACGGTAATGTCTAAAAACACTGAATGCTAAAGTAGTGCTCTTTAAACAGTTGACCAATCCACTAGTTTTAAAATCTTTTTGGTGTGTTGAGACCAGTATTTTGTTTTAAATTATCACTGAGCCTACTTATTTGTGGCAGAAGACTCTGAGAATCCAGATATGTTGCTTGAGGGGCAGTGAAATCCAAACGGCTCTCAGCATGGTTTGGCATCCTGACGTGGCAGATAAACTAGAGTCTGTTTGCATAACCTGAGGAGACCCCTGGGTGAACTCCTCTTTGTTGAAGAAGAAGCCAGGCTTGAGGAACTTGGCACAGTGATTGTGAGTTCAGGAAGGCAGGTGCCACTGGAGTCTATCTGACCCTGCCCTAGGTCAATGCCTGGGTCCTAGTGAGCGAGAGGATAGGCTGAAAATAAAAACTAAAAGAACTAGTTAATTAAGCTCTGGGGCATGTTGTGACGTAGGCAGTGAGGGCTGCCATGGGAGAGATTGGTCATGTGGGGAGCCCATAGTGCCTGCAAGAGACTGCTGGTCCTGCAGAGGAGAAGTGGTGACTAGAGCAGCAGACATATGCATAAGCCCAGGTGAGACCCTCCTCGTGTCCTCACCGGGAGGGCGCAAGAGCCAAGGAAGTTGGAATTACTGATGGCAAGGTGATCTCATTACTCCGCGCAGGCTCCTGAGACCAGAAAGAAAGTGCTGATTACATACAGCAGGAGAATAGGAAGCGAGGGAGAAAGAATATCAAATAAAAAGACAAGAGCAGAAAGCAAAGGGAAAAACAAAATCGGATGAATCTGACCAGATGCTTGAGGAGGTGATCATACTCTGATTCCAAAGCAATCTCTCCACCTATTGTCAACAAGCTCCAAAGCAAGTTTCTAGCTTTAGCAAGATAAATAAAGACTATGTCCAATGTCTATAACATCTTGATGAGATCGCCATGTGTACTAGACGAAGGGATTGCATTTTCTAAATCTGAACGCATCCTATCTTGAGTAGACCTTCACATGACAGAGATGGGAGAAAACAAATAAGGCACCAGTTGAGAGGCCTTGAGTGCATCAATATGCAAACCACTTAAAAGTCTGTTTCCAGGGCGCCTGGGTGGCTCAGATGGTTAAGCGTCTGCCTTCAGCTCAGGTCATGATCTCAGGGTCCTGGGATCGAGTCCCGAATCGGGCTCCCTGCTCCTTGGGAGCTTGCTTCTCCCTCTGCCTTTCTCTCTCCCTCTGTCTCTCATGAATAAAAAAAAAAAAAAAAAA